GCAGTTCGATTTAGTTCAGTTGGTTTTTAAAAATAAATTTGAATCAAACCAAATCAAATTAATGCGGTTTAGATTAATTTGGTTGATTCGGTTTTTTACAAAAAAAAATTATTAAGTCATTCATACAAATATAGAATGATATATTATCATAATTTTTTTTATAATTTGATACATAAAATTCCGTATTATAATTTTATCTAAATCTAAAGAATTATATAAACAAGATTGCATTCTTAAATAAATATTATACAAAGAATACAATAAAATATATATTTTGTGAAAATAACATTTATAAATGAACAATATTTTATTTTATTATGATTTGTAAATTAAAATGAATATAATACAAAATATGATAAAATATACACATAATATACATGTTGATTTCTTTAAAAAATTAAAAAAAAAATACAAAATATATATATATATATATATATATATATATATATATATATATATATATATATATATATATATATATATATATAGAGAGAGAGAGAGAGAGAGAGAGAGAGAGAGAGAGAGAGAGAGAGAGAGAGAGAGAGAGAGAGAGAGAGAGAGAGAGAGAGAGAGAGAGAGAGAGAGAGAGAGAGAGAGAGAGAGAGAGAGAGAGAGAGAGAGAGAGGTGAGTAAGATTTTATAACATAATGCGGTTTTGTTTGATTTTGTTCAGTTTGTAAAATACAAACTGCAAATTGAACCGAATCGCGCGGTTCCGCAAGAAAATGATTCAAACACATATGAATTAAATGCAGTTTTTTGCGATTTTAATTTGGTTCGATTCAATTTTACGATTTTCTATTAGGCCGATTTTATTTTAAACACCCCTATTAATAAGACCGACATTCCATTAGAAAGTTATGTCTGTTTTTGTGAACTAGAGCATCTTTCTCTCAATTTTTATTATACAAAAGGTATAATTTCAATTGTAGTTTAAACTATAAGAATGAGAAGTGAATTGATTTAGTCTAGTTTGATTTTACTTGAATTACAAGTTAATTATGATATTTGCAGCACATTATAGATAAGCTATACTTGATAGTTTATTATAATTATTTTCAGTTAAAATTTGTTAAATAACATAAGCAACACAACTAAAGTTAAATTAAATATGCATAAAAAAATAAATTCATTATAAATATAATTCACCTTGCTTTTGTTAAGAGTCTTACATTAGATAAGATATAGTCTGAACATGTGTTTATAAATGGAGATAATCTTTATCCTAAAGTTGATTTTATAGGGTTGACTTAGGTTCAACTATATTTCTTTTTAACATGGTATTTAGAGTTTACTGAGAGACAATCTGTCACCGTGCTTTATCCGGTTGATCTATTGTCTTCCAGTGAGAAATTTTTGACAAACAGTGTCATAACTCCGGTTTGCCTTTCATACACGACCGTGACTCATTTCAGCACCAGTTTTCAGATTTCTCCGGTCACTACCACCGCCATCGCTACTGTTTCTCGCAATCTTCCGACAAACCAACACTACTGATAGAAGCACCTCATTCGATTGGCCAATCCCAACGACTTTTTCACCCGTCCACTCGTCTTCGTACCCTTGTTCCAGATCCGACCTCATATTTTATTTTTCACTCACGAAAAACTGTGATCCAGTTCAAACAAAGTCTTTTTCATCTAGTTCGTGTGGTATTTTCTCTCTTAAGATACTCATGACTACTCCTCAAAACTTTACGCCAAACTATGATGATTTCCTCAGGTGGATCAAGAGTCTTGTTTAAGATCTGGTAGACCACCTATTATGGTTTCTACTATCGAGCCACCCACCATTTATTTCTATGTTCCAATTGTCTAATCTTGAGAGTGAGGGTGTGTGATAAGAGTCCCGCATTAAATAATTTATGGCCTGAACATGTGCTTATAAGTGTGGGCAGTTCTCAACTTACAAATCAGTTTTATAGGGTTGAGTTATGCCCAACTACATTTCTTAACCGTTTTCTATTTAAAAAAAATTATTATCTAATCTAATCCTGACACAAATAAATGTTTATTGATAAATTTAAAAATTATTATGTATGGTTATCGTAAAAGTTTTACATTATTAATGCATGACAATCTATTATAAGGTTATCTTAAAGTTGGTTAAAATAAATGTTAAATACACCCTCTGTTTCTTTTTAAGTGTCATTTTAGCATAAAACTCTTCAACCAAGATAGTGAATTATTATAGTTATTTTTCCTATTATACACTCATTTATTTTCTCTTTCCAAATAAATTCAATCATACATCATCTCTCTTTTTCCAATAACTAATTGAGAAAATAATTAATTTTATGGAAAATGTGAAGTGGAGTTATTGAGAAAGTAGGGATATAATTGACAAATGATAACATTAAACTATAAAAATGACACTTAAATAGAAACAATTTTCTTCTTCTTTTAAAACGACACTTAAAAAGGAACATAGGAAATAGTACTTTTTAGATGTAGCTATTATAATATACTGATAGTGTATCACATTTATATATTAATTATATTCAATTAAAAATAATACCAGGTTACAGTGAATTTAAATTATAAATAACTATAAAAATATGTTATATCATATTATAAGTGTGGTTGATTTAAAAGAAGTAGAAGAGATAATGAGTAAATTTTCAATTTTTGATTGATTCAATCTTGCGATTTTGATTGATGGTTGTCCGATAAAAAAATTAACATATAAAGGGGTTTAAGTAAGGTGATTTTCTAAAGCTATAATCTTTCTTTTGTTGGTGGCTGAAGGTCTTAGTGATTTCTTTACCACAATTGTAGATATTGACATTTTCTTTGGATTTAGAGCCGACTCCTCGGTTTTGAACAACTCCCATCTCTAATATTTATCTTGGAGGATACTTTAGTAGACAATTTTTAGAAGATTAAGACCACTTTTTAGAGTTTTGAGGTGACTTTGAATATTCGTGTTATTCTAAAGAGCAACCATAATAGGGTAAATATGAATCATGTTTTTTTTTACTTTACTAGTGAATTTCTCTATTTTAAGCACAAAAAAAAAACTCTTACCTTCAAGTATTTTGGATTGTCGTTAGAGCAAAATCCTCAACTTAAATCTATGTGGAAACTTCTAGTTAGTCTGATTTCTAGAATGCTGAACTCGTGAAGACATTTGTATGTTAGCCAGGGGTGATGTTACACAACTATATTGTGAATGTTGTCCCTGTTTTCTTTTTATCCTTTCTTAAAATGTTTGTCAATGTTTAAAAGAAGATTGTTAAGGTCCAAAGCAGGTTTCTCAGGACATGGGGTTAAATGTAACTCTAAGACCTTTTGAGTTAAGTGTTATGATGTTTGTAAGTCTAAGCATCAAGGTGGTCTAGGTGTTTGGGATCTCCACTTAGTCAACTTGGCCATCTTGGCTAGGTGGAAGTGGCAACTTATTTCAGGATCATCTGACTTTTGGTTAATATTTTATGTGTTAGAATAATATTCTTGTTATTTCCTCCTTCTTATGGGGTAAGTTTGATGACTTTTGTTCTGTGTCTATCTAGCGGAAAGGTGTGTCCCTCATTGGTTCTAAAATTGAGGATTATTGTGATTGGTTTATGGACAACATTTGTAAAAAATTGGAATCGAGCCTTCTTACATCCTTTTGGAAGAATCCTTGGGTAGGGTCCACTATTCTTTGTGTCCAATTTTTTAGATTCTTTAGTATCTCTGATCAATATGAATAAGTTAAGGTATCTGTGAATGATAACTTGATTTATGGCTTTAAGTATAAGAGATCCCTTTTTGTTTACTAACATGGGATGATTATTGATCTATTGTTAGATATTTGGTATGCCACCCTTTCCTCGATTTCGGGTAGGTGATGATGGCATCAATATAAGGATGACATATTTTCTGTAAACTCAACTTACTTCGTCCTTCTTGAATGTGGTATTTTTAGTAATCTCTCGTCCAATCTTTTAAGCTCAGTTCCTCCTCTGTTTTAAGATAGTTAGAGTCCCTTCTAAAGTGGTTATTTTCTCTTGTTAACTTCTCCAATATAAGGTCTCTATTAGAGAAAACCTATTTAAATATATGACGTTAGTGGATCTAGATGTTATTTCTTGTTAGTCGTATAAAGTGTTAATAGATTCACTTAACCATCTATTTGTGATCGCGGCCTGAGAACATCCGTCTAGTATAATACTTTTAAGTGTTGGGGGTGGGGGTGAATGTGGTGAACCGTTCTTCCTAGAGATATCACAACTCTTTTTTTTTGGATGTTTAGATGATTGAGAAGTGGATCTAAGATTAAAGGGTCTCTTTATGATCAGACACTTAGTAGTGCGATATAAAAATTACGAAATAATCTTGTTTTTTAGGTTTCACTACTATAATAAATGATATGGAAGATAATATCATATCCATGTCTTAAAAATGATATCTTGGTAGGTCAGTAGAAAACTCTTGTGCTTTTTATGTATGACTTGAGAACTATATCTTTTTTTCTGAGCTAACAATAGATTGAGTTTCTTTTGACATTCAATTGTTTGCTTGAATTTCCTTTCCTCTAACTTCTTTCTTGTTGGTTGTGCAGATACGATGAAGAGTGAAGGAATGTGGCGTTGAAGAGAAAGATTTGAGCTGTTGAAGTGACAATATCCCAAATACATCGTCTACTTTTTTTAATTTAAAAATTAACTTAAGTGTTAAAGTGATAATATTGTTGGTCCATCCTACACAACCGCATCGATAACAAGGATGTGCACCAATAATTATAATTCTCAATTATAATATATAAATATTAATTAAAAAATACAACGAAAAAAACTATATTAAAAAGCATGAAAAGTTATAAAAAAAAAGTGTTTGGGCAGTTTTTATGGCCAAAATGAAATGAAGTCGGGTCGGGTTGTAAAAGAAATAGTGTAGAATGAAATGAAGTGGGGTCGGGTTGTAAAATGAAATCCGTAATCCGTAGCAGAAAGAAAGAAGATAAGACTCGGTTTGAAAGCATATGAGCATTCAAACTTAACTAACCATCCATCCATCATGTCGCTAGCTTCAATTTCTTCCGCATTCTCCTCATTCTCAATTTCATTACCTTCCTCGCGTTCTACTACTTCACTTTCATTCTCAACTTCTATTTCCAAGAATCCCTCTTCTCAATTCCTCAAATTTCAACAACAACACGATAGGCCCAAACGAAGAGTGGTTGTCATGAGTTTGGACGCAGGCGTTGGAGTCATGGGCACCAAACTCGGAATGATGACTTTTTTCGAATCTACCGGAGAAGTTGTTCCCGTCACCATCGTCGGTTTCAAAGAAGGCAACATTGTCACCCAGATCAAAACCGAGGCCACTGACGGTTACAACGCTGTCCAAGTCGGTTACCGTAGGGTTAGGGACAGGAAATTGAACACAGCAGAAATGGGTCATCTTAAAAAGGCTGGAGCCATTCCGTTGCGCCATCTTCAGGAGTTCCGTCTTCAAACTGTTGACGGCTTTCAACCTAATCAGCGCCTTGTCTTTGATGAACTTTTCAAAGAGGGTGATCTTGTTGATATCTCTGGCACCACCATTGGCAAGGGTTTCCAAGGTTTGCAATTTCATTTCTTACTTTATTATTATTTTAACCAATCACAACTATCTTACTATTTGCGTCTCTGCAACTGATAATGTGACTAGTATTTGTACTGTTTCTAATCTACTATGTGTATAAGTTGAGTTGTTGATAATGTATGCTTTAATTCAACAGGTGGAATCAAGCGTCATAACTTTAAGAGGGGTCAAATGAGCCATGGTTCCAAGAGTCATAGACAGCTGGGTTCAATTGGTGCCGGAACTACACCTGGTCGAGTATACAAGGGAAAAAAGATGCCTGGGAGGATGGGTGGATCCAAGACCAAGATCAGAAAGCTTAAGATTGTTAAAATTGATAAAGAGCTTAATGTTATCATGATCAAAGGTGCTCTGCCTGGTAAGCCTGGGAATCTAATTCGGATAGCTCCGGCTAAGATTGTTGGCAAGAACATTCCCAAGAATTAGTCTCTTTCTCTTGTAAGGTTTTTTCTTACTTCCTGTTATCTTTGGTTAGCTTGTCTCATAACTGTTGTAAAATTTATGTATACTACTCTTCCCTTTCTCAATCCACTGACAATTATGAAAGCAAGCTCTGTCTTAATCAATCAACAAAAATGATTATGTTTTACTGGGTCAGATTGGTTGCAACATTATCATGTTTTACACTGAATCATGTAGGCGGATATTTTTCTCTTGTTGATCATTTTGATGGTGCAGGCATGGAGGTTATGAGCATAAAATTATAGTTTGCTCTAAACTCTAATGTAGGACTAACAGTTTTTAATGGTATTGACTTCCCCCTAACCCTTATTGATTTGGTTTTTGATGCTTCTCTAGTTGTTGTCACGAGTTTAGTGAGTAACATTCCTGCTAATGGGTGTGGTTGTGACTACCACAGCAGACCCTCAAACTGATCATGATGCCATACTCCTCTTTGCAATAATGTGGAAATTCTGGGCCAATGACAAATAGAGTCAAACACCCTCAAGTTTCTAATTCTCAGTCCATATCTTCAATCGACATACACACCATATCTCATTTTATCCAATTTATATTTCGCACTTCACCCTTTCGGAACATCCCAGAAGAGAGAAAGTAAATTTGTAGAACAAAAAAAACTGATTTTATGACGGACTACATAATCACCATAGACAAATGTTTCTTCCTCTCAAAGGTCTATTATCTTGAATGCAAGAAAATGATGAGTTTAAGTTGGTACTCTCAAAGGTCTCTTATGAAAGAGAGTAAGAGAATAATGCACATTAATGGTGAATAGAAAAAACAATTTTCTTTACATGGAACTTAAATTTCAAAGTATATGATGCAAAACCCAAAATTTTCTGTCAGTCATAAACTATATAGAGCATTAATAAAAGGCATAAGTAAATTTACACGAAGTTGCTAGGAATATGCAGAAAGAGAATGAATAAATGAATATGAAGATAAATATGCATGAAGTCTAAAATAATTTTAGATAGAGGTGAGTGTTGAAAGTGTAATTTCTTGTGTCGAAGTAGGTTGTTGCTCGACATAAAGTGTGTCGAAAACAATTTAGCTTAGTCTTTCAAAGTGTGTCGAAGTGCGTGTGTCGAGTTGTAGGTGTCGAAGTGTCGAAGCAGGTTACTTCTCATTGGATTTTGACTTAGATCTAAAATATGTATTTTGCGCTTTTGTGTTTTGGGCTTTGACTTAAGGAGAAAACTAACCTAAACCTATAAATAGAAGGAATAACCCTTATTTTTGGAATAAACTCATAACTCATTGTATTCACAGAATTTTGCAGTTGCAAAGTGAATAAAGATTTTCCACACTTTGTGGGCAGAGAGAAACTCTGCAGAAATCCTAATCTCTTTTCTTCTTTAATTTTCTTTTCTTTTCGTTGTCATTGTGTGGTGATAACAATCTTGTTCATCAAGATTGAAAAAAATTCATCATAGATTTTGGGGGATTTTCAACATATGGTATCAGGAGCTCCGGTTGAGTGATTCAAGGCAAGCAAGAACGATGTCGATGGATCATTCGAACAATCATTTTTCAGCAAGTCTTTCAATTCTTAAAGCTGATAACTATGAGAGTTGGTGCAAGCAAATGAAGGTTGTGTTTTATTGTCAAGATCTTTGGGATCTTGTGAAATATGAATTAGAACCGCTTGAAGAAGACACTTAAGAAGAAGAAGAGACGAAATACAAAGAATTGAAGAAAAAAAATTACAAAGCTCTCTTTATAATTCATTAATGTCTGAGTCCAGACAATTTCGAAAAGGTTAGTGATACAAAATCTGTAAAAGAAGTTTGGGAAGTTCTGAAGAAATTATTTGGAGGCGCAGAGAAAGTGAAACATGTGAGGTTACAAACTCACAAAAGAACGTATGAATTACTTCAGATGGAAGATAGCGAGAGCATATCTGATTTTTTCATTAGGGTTACGAAACTAGTGAATCAAATCAAGGTTTATGGAGAGGCATTAACAACAAGAGCAATTGTTTCAAAGATCTTGAGATCTTTGGCTCTAAAATTCGACCATGTGGTAGTTGTCATAGAAGAGTCGAAGAACATGTCAATTTTATCGAAATAAGAGTTTCATGGGACACTTGAATATCATGAACAAATACTAGCTGAAAGAGCTGCAGGCAAGTCGAAGAGTGACATGGATTTGCAGGCACAATCAACAAGAGACAAGAAAGACAAAGGAAAGTGGTTCAACAACAAAGGTAGAGGAGGCTACAATAATTCGACTGGTAAAGGAGACAAGCAGGAAGGAATTGTGTCGAATCACATAAAATCCCCATTCCAAGGCAACCAAAGAGGTGGTGTTGGAGGTAGAAGAAGAGGTGGTGGTCGAAAATCTGACAAGAGTCACATTCAGTGTTAAAATTGTTAGAAGTATGGTCACTATTCTAGTGATTGCCTAGAAAAGTGAAAGAATCAAGAAAGTGATGCTAAGTTTGCAAAGTATAAAGAATAAGAGATGATGTTGATGGTCACAATAAGAGATGAAGAGAAATTTAAGGACCAATGATACTTCGATTCGAGATGCTTATCACACATGTATGGAAGGAAAAATTGGTTTGTCAACATAAAACCCTCAATGAAGAAAATGGTGAAATTCACAAATGACAATACTTTAGTTGCTGAAGGTTGAAGCAATCGGGAAAATCATTGAGAGAAAATCAATGAAGTCGTCATCGAGTATTTATTTATCCCACATAAGGGAAAGGAAAACATCGAAGAAAACCTGATAAGGGAGAAATCACGGCCTTGTGAAAGAGAGATTGGGTACGGAAGTCGATTACGCAAGGGGAAGGTATAACACCCCTCACGTCCGTGATACTCCACAAGATCCTCTCCTGTTTTTCTAATCAAAGGGTGTGTTCATATCTAAAGCTTACGAGCCAGGAAAAAAAAAGCATGAATGCAAAGTGTATATACAAAGAAAAAGGTTTTATTAGTCGTGCCCGTCACGGTTGTGAATCTTTAATGCTTACGTACCACCTTTCGTGCAATAGGGGATCATGGCACTTCACAGTTCTTCTAGAAAATGTTGGTTGGTGTGAATTTTTTAATCGGATAGTATTACTTCACACTCCAGCAGTTGGCATAGTGCCACTCGACCTTTAAGAAATTATGCGTTGTTTGCGTGAAGAGGAAATAATACACCCTTTTAGAAAAATGTTTTCAAAGAAAATCCTGAAGGTGGACCGAAGGCAAAAGGTTTGAGTTGGTTGGTATTTTTGGTAGGATGATAGCAAATGAATCCCACTGGAGGGATACTCACTACTTCTCCACTTATTTGCAAAAGAGTTTACGAATTGAATCGTAATAAATTCCGAAAATTGAAAAAGAGTAAGATTCAGTCTGGACCGATTTGCTCTACTCCACAAGACTCAACTATATACAATTTACATATTTATTTATCAAGTGTTTTAGAGTTTTCAAAAGAAAAGAGAGTTTTAGATTTAATGATGCAAAATGGCAATGAAAAAGTATAAGGGAGACTAACAATCCTAATACTATCATGCAATGGTGGTCCTAAAATTTGGATACAAAGGGATACATCTATCTAAGTTAGCATGCATGATTTACAAATCTAATGTCTACCTTGATTCGAAGACGAAACAAGTGAACCTAAGGAAACATGCAAACGTGCAAGGAAGGTAACAACAAACAAGGATGCTAACAAGCATTAAACATGAGCTATCAATACAAGAATCCAAGGTGGATTTCGGCGTGGGAGTCAAAAGACTCTTTTCCACTAGAATAGCTCAAGCATAAATCGAGTAACAACTCGAAGCATCAACGTTAATAAACGTGAGCTAAGTATCGCCGAAACTATGATAAGGCGTGGGGGTGATTACGATCCCTTCTTCCACTTTATTGACTCAAAGGATAAGAGGACAACGACTAAAAGCATCAACGTACGACTCGAGTTAAGAATGACCAAGGGACTTGAAAAATGGGGGCCGATTGCGAGCTCTTCTTCCACTTTTATTGACTCGATTGCAAGCACAAAGTAAAAGAGGAATGAGAATTGCCTTCTTTGAGGACTTGAAACAAACAAAATTGCCTCTTTTTGAGGTAAATTTAAACAAACATGAATTTGTTCTTTTTTGAGGACTTTAAACAAACAAAAGTTTAAACAAACAAGTCTCGCAATGCCTACAAGGGTAGGTCTTCAAACATGCATCTCTATTCCTACTTCTCATGGCAAGGAAATCAAAAGACAATGCAGAAAAACAAAATAGGAAAAAGTACCAAACATATAAAATCCGTCGCAAAGCGTAACAAAGTGTAAGAAACCCGAAGATCCTCGCGAAAGCTTCACCAACAAAGGAAAGAGTCGGGAATCGAATGCATGAGAGAAGCATCCGAATATCGTTAATGTGAAAATAAATCACAAATGGAAAGTGCGTGAAACATATCCGAATGTCAAACAATAAACCTGCATAAAATACAAATCTCGACAAATAAACGAATCGCACGTTTCAAGTAATCGAATAATCAAGAATTAATTAATCAACTAAATATAGATAGAAAAATGAGGCGAATCTCTCTTTCGAAGCACCTTCGGAAGCTTGCACAAATTCATAAAATGAGTTAGTGATAACAAGGAAAGATAATAAAAGTTAAACATTCACATCACAACTCAAATTGAGATTAAATCATGAAGAAATAAATTCCAAACAAGTACCGGAACCACAAAATAAAACTCCGGGCATCATCGTTTCACTTCATGAAACGCTTAAAATATCAAGTTAAAATCAACCAAACTCGACACCAATATCAAGCATCCATCAAATTAAAATCAAATATGTATTGACCAATTCCAGACAACATTGTATCAACTCATGAAATGCTCAAAATGTCAAATTAAAATCAATAAAACTCAATATCAATATCAATATCCAACAATCACCAAAGTGACACCAAACATGCTCCGAGCAAGAATTAAATCCACATTTATGCACA